CGGGCTGGCAGGCCCCCGGCACCTCCGGCCGGCGGGGGCGGCCTTCGCCTTCCCGGCTGGCGGCCTCGGCCCACCTGGCAGCCCCGCTGACCCGGCCCGGGGCGTACCCCTCCCCGGGCGTCGCAAACGGGCAGCCGTTCCTTCGAGAAAGAAGGGGGCGGCTTAAAATGTCGCCCACGGGCGCGCAGGGCACCCCGGCCCCTCCCGCCGGGACCCACAGGCCGGTGGGGCCCCCCCGTTTCCCGAGCTGCCCCCCCCCTCAGAGAGCGGCGGTGCCGGCGGCCGTACCCCCACCTGAGCGGTGTCCGCCGGGCACCTACACCCTGAAAGGAAAAAACAAAGGCGGGGGGTGTTGGAAAGCAACGGGGCTCTTTCCCCGCGTTAACGGGAGGGATGAGGGGGGGTTGTCACGGTTTATCCCCCGTGGAGAAGGTGTCGGCTGCGGTTCACGGGTGGGGAGGCGCGGTGGCACTCGGTGGGCCCTTCAGGAGGCTGGTTTTCTCGGGGAATCCAGATGTCTCCCGTCTGGTCGGGTGAAAGGGAAGCGGTGGTGGCTGCTTATCGGTTTGTGGGTAAAGAGAGTGGTTTCTGTTATGTAACTTTCTGTTATGATAACATCACGTTTGTTGCTGGAGAGACCTTCAATCAGGGTATAAACTGATTGGGGAACGCAGTGATTGTCAGCTGGTGTGTGCGCTGGGTGTTTCGGAATCGTCCTTTGAATGTATGCTGTTAATAAACAATATTTTAAACAGTTGAACGTCCCCTAATTTATTTGACTATGCATAAACCAAACAACACTCAAGTTTGTTACTCTTAAGTAATTCTTTGAAGTAGCAATCGCGTGTGATCTGTATTTGTTCATTCTGAAAGTGTAGCTAATAAACTCTTAGAGTGAGATCCTTTCATTTTTTAAAAGTAGTATAGTTTGCAGAGAAATCATTCCGTATATATGTGTTTAAAGATACAGTGGCTTACAAAATTCTGCCAAGAGTTCCCTGGATTTTACAGTACCAGTGTTACTATTCCATGATGGTGTGGTTTCCTCTCCCATCCCATTTGTCAATAGACTTGTCCTAGCTGCAGTGGCATAATTATAAGATGTGAAATGGAGAGTACTTTATGTTTATAATAAAGACCTCCAGTTTCGCTTCTCTCCTGTTTAGAACATTTTCCCCAACAATAGTAGAGTGCCCAAATCAAAGTAGTAACCAAAAAACCCCAGGAGTGCTTTTAAGGAGGAGGCAAAGCAAGTAGGCTGCCTTCTTAAAGGGTACGATCAATCTGACATAGCTGCTATGTGAAATAAAGTCACAGATGACATTGGAAAGCTTTATGTTTATAAAAGGTCTTCATCTGTAGCATTTAAGTATGTGTTTAACTTCCTGTACATAAATTGTCTCATTAAGTTTAGTAGAACTGCTTGTATGGATGAGGTTGAGCAGATTTCAGAAATAACTCCAGAACCTTAATGGTCATGCCCAGAAAGTAACTATTTAGACTTCATTATTTAAATCACTTGTTGCTACTTTAAAGCTTCATACTAAAAATGCTTGAAGGAACAACATTCTGCTGAAGACTAGGCATGCATTGTTTTCCAAATTCCTTTACCCCCACATGCGATCCCATAATACATGGAGTACTGACCTTTCTTTTTCTTGTAAAAGTCGTGGTTTTTTGATGCATTTATTGTGCATGCTTCCATATGAAAAAGCAGGGGCAAATATTTCTAGGATTGTAGACTTACTACCTATGAAGCTTTTAAATTTTTAAGTATGTTCTTACTTTCTTTTCTTTTTTTTTTTCATCTTCAGCAGTGTTCTGGCTTGGGTTTAATATGTTTGATTTTAATGTTGAGTGTAATTGCATTTTGTAGTGTTTTTTTTTTTTCACATGAGTGTAATTGCATTTTGTAGTGTTTTTTTTTTTTTTTTTTCACGAATATACTCCACAGATTATTTCTGTAAACAAGCAAACAAAAATCCTGTAACCTTCCCCCTCTTCCCCAACCTGTACGTCAGCAGCAGTTTGGATAATATGCACTTGTGGTTAATAGGAGAGGATGTTTATAGTAAGGACTGTTCTCCCAGAAAAGCCCTGCTGCCTCTGCTATCTCTCTGCAGCAGCCATCGTCTGCTCTCACTTCACATACGTTATATGGATTTATTTACATGTGCCAATATCTGCAGTATACTGAAAACGTGGTAAATAGAATGCTTTTCTGTGTAGATTATCTAGCTTTATTCAAAAATATTCACTATAACTACGTAAAATGCTGTTTATGCACTTGTGTGATTTAAGAGCAGATTTCTAGATTTTTCTTGTTGCAGAAAAAACTTTGTTATTGGTATTAGAAGTTTTTATCCAACATAGTTGGTCTTAATGGAAAGCAAACATTCTTATTGCTCTCAAATAAGCCAAAGAGAGTATCCTTCAGAGGTAAAACTTATAAAATTTCATTCCTATTCCAGTGTAGGCCTACGTAAATTGATGCTACTGCAGTCCTAGTGCTGTCATCCCTGTTGTGTTAAATCTTCCTTTCATTTTCAGCTTCCTTTAGAGTGCTGACCTGTCAAAAAGACCCTTCTTGCTGCGTATTTTGCCTGTGTTGCTGCATTTTTCTTTTTCTGGGTTACTTTCCTGCTAGTTTTTCAAGCAGAGTTGGCTCACCAGGGTACCGGATGAATGCCAGGACCGGCATAAAGGAGGTGCAGGAGCATGCAGAAGGATCACTGCCCCCTCAATTTGCGTCAGCTTAAATGGCCCTAGATCCTTGGGCACAAAGGTGTTAGTCAGGTGCCTGAGTCTCTTGCATGCTCCCAGGAAAGGAGTGGGTCCCTTTGAATAGTTGGCGTAACAGGCAGTTTGTTTGTGCTTGACAAGATGCACAGAGATCCAGCCCGAGTGGAGAATGAGCTTTGCTGTTGACAACTGAGTCTCTTGCATGCTCCCAGGAAAGGAGCGGGTCCCTTTGAATAGTTGTGCTTGGCAAGATGCACAGAGATCCAGCCCGAGTGGAGAATGAGCTTTGCTGTTGACAACTTTGGTGTCAGTAGACTTTCAGGCGTGTAGGAAGTGAAGGAAGAGTCTTTGTTTTGTAAAGGATGGTCTGATTCACTTGAGGTTCTTTATGTATTTCAGGTACACCTGAATGTTTTTCCGCTTAAATAGTACGTAGTCTATGAACTTTGGTGT